GATGGATGGATTAGACTTCATGGTGATGGTTGGCTGGGGCATAACGCTTGGCTAAGGAATAGCTGACACCACTGATCTTCGACCCTCCATAAATAATTAAGCAGAGCCTTTTTGGTGTTGGTTCTCAGGGAGGCGGAGATGTTTCCTTCGAGCTCATCTGGTTGATAGTATTTTTCCCTTTATCTGTCAATAAATCTAAGAGATGTCCAGTGCTACAACTTCCAACCATAGGGCGGTGCAATCCGCGGTGTTATGACCATGGTCACCATGGTATTCGCACCACTTAGTCGTGTCCCTCCTCGCTTCGAGATTGAGTTTGTTTGGCCACTTAACGGTATGTCCTATTCCTTTCATGATTGCCACGACCTGGGCAGGTTCGACGTTAAGGTTGTACTCCGAAACTTTGTATGGGCTCGACCCGGATGGTCTGTTGTCGATTCTAATTGGTGGGCGGTCATATGGTTTTTTAACCTTGTTCAGATTACATGGAGGATGTTGGTAACGGGGCTTAATCGATCTGGACTCTGACCTTGTATCATTCCGCCTTTGGTGACGGTCATCGTACCTAGCATGCCTCATCCGGTTCATTTCATCTTCCTCCCACCTTATTTGAATCACAGCTTTGGCTAAGGCGCCTTCTATCATGGTGCAAGCGAGCTTCGTCAAGTCTTTATACAGTTCTCCATCCGGGAGGAGACCTTTTCTGAAGGCGTCTACTAGCGTCTTTGGGTTACATAAGGGGATGAAGATTTTTTCTTTGTTGAACCTGCTGACGTATTCTCTCAGCGGCTCCCCCTTCTTCTGATAGACTCTGTACAGGTCGGTCGATAGTTTCTCGAGTTTCTTGCTGCTAGCGAATTGTTTAACAAAGGTGTCAGTGAGCTGGGCGAATGAGTTGATTGAACAATTTGGAAGGTTAGTGTACCACTAAAGAGCTGGGCCGGAGAGGCTTAAACCGAAGCTCTTACACATGCAGGCTTCCCGCAGTGTTCGGGGTATCGAGATGACAAACATCCGCTGCTTGTAAGAGGCCATGTGGTCATCTGGGTCGGTTGTGCCGTTGCAGGGCTTCATGCTGGGGATGGTGAACTTGTGTGATATCTCAATTAGCGCGATTGCATCTACAAAGGGTGAATCAGCATAGCAGTGAGGTTGGCTCTTTTTTGTTGGGATTGGCATTTCGGGTATGCACCTCATCACTGCCTCTATGTCGGCCAGTCTCATGGCTAATATCTGCTCCATGGGAGATGCGGATACCACTAGGTCGTCCTGGTTGACTCAGTTGGCCACAGGATTTGCACTTGGTGCGTTTTGGTGGGTCAATCCGCGTGGGCTAGCCTGACCGATCACTCTGTTGTGTGCCGCTTGGTAGCTTTGATCCACATTCATTCCCTCCGGTTGGGTGACTCCCCTCGTGACTGATCAGGTGTTTCGCCCTACATGGATTGTAAAGGGGGTTATTTGGGATTCGCTCGGTCCGTTGGGATGAATGCACTGGAGCGGGATGGTTTGAAGGAGTGGGGGACCGCTCGACCCACGAGAGTGAGCCGAGCCAGGTGGAGTTTGGGTAGGGATGATTGACTAAAGGTGAGACGGGATGGCGAGGATGGGTGGTTCTTGTTGTAGTGGGCTTTTTGTCACTTGGATGCCTTGATCTCGTGCCTGAAGCGGATTGACCGAGAGTGGTTCTATCGGCAACCCCCATTCACTATTAGTCAGGGCTGAATCGTTAACTAATGACGAACATAGTTGGCACGACCTCGTATCCGAGATTGTGGGTCTATGCTTTGAAGTTTGGAGAGGTTGCATAGACAGAATTGAGGCGCAAAACCGATTGGGTTGTACCTGACAAGGCAGAAGCTCAAGATCATAAAACTGACTTACCTTCTCTTTTAGATTGATTCTCGGCCCTGATGGAGGCGTTTTCGATCCGGATGACAATGTTCTCAGCTTCCAATGTGGCCACCTTGTTTGAGTGTTATTGCATGAGGGCGGTCAGAGCCTCTAGTTTGGCCTCGAGGCCAGGATTAATGTTATCAAGATTGTCAGCCATAAAGAGTTTCTTCACGTAACAGGGTTTGTGAGACGAATGATTGCCAGAAGCCCCACAGTGGGCGCTAAACTGTAGATGTAAAAATCTACCTTCGCGAAAAGAGGGACTGATCCCGTGAGGTTGAGGCCACTAGCCATCTGTTGCACCTGCACACATAAGAAAACAAGCGTGAAGTAAACGGAAAGCACCAGGGTGGTGTTTGCCGTAGGCACTCCAACGCCCAAGTCAGCAAGGCTGAGTGAGGCTAGTTTAGTAAGGGTTAGGGAGAGGAAAGGTTACCGGAAGTCTAGTCAGGGACTGTGACTACGGCTGTAATGTGAAGTTCTCAAGTGGGAACTCCGGGGTCTGAAGGTGTAATGTTTCTGTGTCTTGTGAGAGGGTTAGCCTCTGTTTAAATAGTGACTGCATGGTCTTCGAATCTTGGTGGGATTGGGAGTCCTTGCAGCAGTGGTCTTCCCAAAGAGCGGAGCCTTTGGCTCCCTTACCTCAGTAGGAAATGGAGTCCTAGCGGGCCTAGGATATGGACCTTAGACAAATTGGGATAATAATTGACTTCCTTAGTAGAGTTCAAGCAGTATTGTAGTTCGTAGGCGACCGTGGGCTCCGAGTTGATCATAAGTTTAGAAGGTGTTCTAGGGTCAGAAGGCTTGGGTTCAGATGGAGAGGAACTGGGAAGAAACACCAGACGGGTCTCATATGCAAAACTCTGAGTGGGCCCCATCGGGATTGAGCCTGAACTTTTCAGCTTTGTTAAAGGTGTCTTCATCTTTGGGCTCATCTAGGCCGAAGACACTTTTTGGCACTAACAATTACTTACACGTAATTTATATTAAAACAAATTACATATCCTTTTTTGGTAATTTATCATAAAATAAGTGTTTTTATAATAATTAAATCAAACCATCAACTGGGTTGAAAAGAGCTTTTAAATTAACAACCAACGGCTTATTAATAAAGTTCTACTTTCTTACACTTCATATTATAGATCAAATATGAAGTGTAAATATTAAACATAATTCTATTGCTCACACATTGTAGAGTAATTACCAATTATCCCAAATTTCTTATAATTTTCAAAGTGACCTAATATGGAGTGTCACTTTGGGCCCCTTCACTTTCGTTGGACTCCAGTCACTCAGTCTGTGCAAGTTATTGGGCCTGATCCAGCATAGCGTAATGGGCCCGGCAACTTCTCTAGATCTTCATTACCGTGAGTGGATCTATTAGCACCCTATTGATGGACTAAAGAAGTTCCATTTTTTAATAATTTTGATAATGACAAGCTTATCCTTATGTTAAATTATTAAAATCAATTTTAATATCTTATTCTCAACAAATACTTTTGAAAACCCTCTATTATCTCATAAACCCTAATTTTTATACTTTTCAAATCATTCTTAGAATAAAAAGATAGTTTAATAGAGATTGAAGATTTGCAATGAGACATATTTAATCTATATATCTTTTGTGTTGTTTAATTATATTATATTCTTGGTGTTATTTGTAAGGATTTCATTTAGCTTTAATTTTTTTTTTTTTTTAACTTTCAATTCAGTTATCTAAAATTTTATTCTATATAAAAAAAAAAAAAATGGAATGAAGGGCATTTATGGGATTCTACAAGAAAACAAATAAATGTTAAAACTTTGAACTAGGGTGTCTTAAAAAATAGGATTTCTTTAGTTCATTAGTGGGGTGTCAATAGTTCTTTTTTTTTTTTTTTTTTTTTGTGATCGTGGTGTCTGGGTCAACTTGCGTATACCTCAACTAATCACTGGGACACTGAGTTAACAACGAGGTAAATCGAACTTAAGACCTCTTAGATAATATCCTAAGAGTCCTTATTCAATCACTAAACCAACCAAGGGTGTTTGCGGTTAATAGTTCCATTCCATTAAGGTTGGATGATTCAAAAGCCTTATTTCCTCTTTTTTTTTTTTTTTTTTTAATAATTATTTTTTCTTAGATTCCCACAACCGAACCAACACTATAGTACCGTTGCCCTTCTTTTAACATAATCACAAGAGAAGGAAACTATTTTTTTTTTTTTTTTTTTAATAATTATTTTTTCTTAGATTCCCACAACCGAACCAACACTATAGTACCGTTGCCCTTCTTTTAACATAATCACAAGAGAAGGAAACTAAAAAATAACCCAATATATATCTGAGAAAGGAAAAAGAAATTATAATAATTTACTTGAAAATTTTATCACCAGAAAGATGAGTGGCTGACAGGGTATCTTTGCTGTAGATAGTGAAAATATCAATGAACAAAATAGGATAATTATAACACATATTTGTTTTCTTAACTGCATACTTAATTTGTTCTGGTTTTAGGGTTTCCTCAATAATATATATATACTGGTTTCCTTTACAAGATTTGAGGCTCTATCCTTAATTACCTTCTTTCATCCACACAAAAATTAATATAATTAATCCAACTCAAACTTCGATTAATTCTAAACCCATCAGTTCCTTTGAGGTATTTGTGTAGCGGCCCTATCCAACAACTCAAGTTGCCAAGTTGGATACTGGGACAAGCCAGTTGTTCTTCTTGTAGTAGTACCATTTGAAGACCATTAGGGTCAAAATTCAGATAAGGTATCTGCGACAAAAGTACTATCTTCTAGGTGATTTATCGGGCAGAAAGAGCTGCTGCCCTACTGTGAATCATCACTATCACCATTGAATCTGATGCCAAACACATTCTTTCAGAGAAGGAGAATTTAGTCTGATCTGTTAGCTCTCTAGTTGATCTGCTGCGTGATTTAGCTAATTTAATTATAAGCTTGGAGTAAGATGAAGAATTAATCTTATGAACATAATAATCAAACCCAATGAGTGGAAAGAGGCTGTATATGTAAGAAATTAGTAAACTGAAAGCAAACAACAGAAGGACATATATAAAACAAAAGAATAATGCGAGTAAAAATTTAAAGCTTGAAAACTTTATTAAGTGGACAGCAAAATAAGATGTAGATGAATGAACAAGAGAGATCGATCGATATGATTTGGTTGATTATGATCATCAACAACCTCTAAAATTAATTCTCCACACACAATAACTTCATTTCTTTCTTCTTAAATTTTGTTTCCTCTCACTCCATAATTTGATTTCGTAATTAAACTAAAGTACTTCACGCTTACACTTTTATCAAGCTTAGCTAGTCCTAAGCTAAATAACAAAATAATCTAAAATTAAAGGGAAATAATTAAGATGAATTCTTCAAAAACTCAACCCTGAACAAGGCCATATGATAGAGCCATTAGTAGGATCGCGGCTTCCTTCTCATCTTGAGGGAAAACTCGTTGAAAAGCTGAATTCTTACTCAAGATTATTGTCAAGTCTTCGAAACAAAGCTTCTTTTTGCCCCGTGACGGGGAGCCAAATTGGCACCTTTTCTTGAATGGAAGAGAGCTATTATTACTTGATGATGTCTTATCTTTGTGGTGCACCTTACTTTTCTTAGATTTAGTATCAGCTGCAAGTGCAGTGCCATTGGCAGCTGCTGCCGCCGCCGCCGCCATAGCCCGTCTCGCTTTCCTTTGCCGAATTCCACAGGCGTTGCACAGTGACTGCAAACAAAACGTGTACCAAAAGATCACGTGTTAGTGTTTCTTGAAACACAAAATGCTAAAATGGATGCAAATTAAGAATGGTATAATTAGATCAATGTTAATTACCTTGGGACCTCTAGGTCCACTTCTCCAAAGAGGGGTCTTAGTTGTGTTACAATCAGCACAAACCCTAATTGTGGTGGTGGTCTTGTTTTTGGTAGTGTAGGAATTGTTGTGATTGGTTTCTGATGGTTGCTTATGATGATCTTCAAACTTTTGCATAGAGTTATTTGGTATATTATCACCATCATCCGAATGCATCATCTTCTTCATCAACCTCATCTTTGAAGACATCCACTTAACCGAAGTACTATTCTCACTCTGATTTTCATTTCTCTCTTCTTTCTTCCAGATAGAGAACTTGAGCCCACTGTCACTCTTGTTTGTCACTGTCGTCTGATGATCCCATGATCCCTCTTGTGAAACAAATATCTTAGCCTAAAATCAAAATATATAAGCTATGATCATATAATACAAGTGAAAATATAGTACGAATTAACACTTAAATATTATTAATTACCTCTTGTTGGTGTTGTAATTGATACATCTCCTTTTGATAATATCCTCCAGCTTGTTCTTGAGCTGTCTCGAAGAAATTAGGACATGGGGCGGTAGAAGAAGATGAAGAAGCTGAAGTTGAAGATTGAGAATTTAAAAAGAATAACTGGTGATGTTGATCTTCTTTTAGGTCTAAAGGAAAAGGAGTAAGGGGTGAATGAAAATTTGGAGTCATGGGATCAAGAGAGAGAGAAATGAAGGAAATAATAGAGTTCAATTCTTTTTCTTTCTCAACCTGTTGTCCAGTAAAGATGGAAGAGAGATCAGAAGGGGGACAAGAATTGAAATGAGAGAGAAAAAGGAAGCAAAAAGGTCGTAACATACACAGAAGCAAATCACTTTTAAAGGGGATCAATCGCTCTTCTTGCTAGCGTAGACCTAATAAGAGCTTCACGTGACTTCATGAAACCAAACCAAACAAGTTGAAAAGACAAAATTAATCAAAAGGAGACTTGTGGAATGCAACTACACGATCGACCACATTCAAATAAAACCCTAATTGGGAAAGAATTAAATAACGAGTCACAAGACGATGTAATTTGATGCTAGCCACACAAATTCTGATGATAATACAACACTATATATATATATAATATATTATATATTTATTTATTTATTATTTATTATTTGGTGATGGAGGTGTGTGAGTCAGTTTGCATGTACCTCAACTAATCCCTTAAAACCTAAAGTGAACGACCGAATAATTCTATTAGGAACTACCTATTAATATTTGGGGATACTTGAACTCAAAAATACATTTAGACCTTTTTATTTTTTATTATCAATTATCTAATGGTGATGACTTATATAATTTCAATCTTGTCTATATGTCCACAAAACACATTTATGATCACGAATCATGCATATTAGAACTTAATATGATCATTATTATTAGTAATTGAGAATAATTTTTGATTGGTGGGGGAATATGAAGCGTGGGCATGAATATAGTGTGATGTGAAGACATGGGTCAGAATTGCATTCATGGAACATCTTCTCCTCCACCTCAGTATGCCAAAACCCATTTAATGCTTTTGCAGGCAAGAGACAAGTTCGGCATCCTCTCTCTTCCCCACAACTTGTCAGTAAATTATTCAACCTTACGGTCTTTTTCCTTAATTTTTTATTTTAACTTCCAAAATTATAATTAAATAATAATTAATCATGGATGGTCAACTCAATTAAGCACAGAAAATAAAAGACATGCAAAATTTTCGATCTCTTCTCTTTTTCCTTTTTTATTTCTTTCTCTCCTCTGTAACAGTGAAACGACTGCGGCAGAAAAAGTTAAGAGAAAAAAGCTGACTGGAAAAAGAAAGGACATGAAAGCAAACGTTTTCTCGAAACGACGTACGATCCTATTTAGTTATCAGTCTTTGCATAGTTTCAGTCTTTATAAGGAAAACCACCCAGTAAATTGAGCTAAGCAAGCACAAAATCAACTATGGGAAATTTTTAAATGTAGTTTTGGACTTTTCAATTTTCATAATGTTTAGCTATTTCAAGTATGGTTATTAGTATCCTATGATATCTGATACGTATTATATAATACAATTTGATATAAGTATCCAACGATACGTATTAAAGAGTATATCATAAACATTTCGATACGTTGATATGTATCTTATGATACGATAAGTATTTGTTGTAGATATGTATTTTATGCTACGATATGTATTCGTTCGTATCCTTAAAAATATCGATACAAATCGATACGACTTTATTAATTTGGGCCAAAGACCCAAAAAATTTTTGGATCGAAACTGGGTCACCCAACCCGATTCACTAAAACCTGCCCAAAATTACTCTTTTTGCATGGAGAAAATGAAGAGGAACATGCTTACCTATTTTACATGATAATAATAATACAAGTAAAAATATAGATATTGACATTTATCTTCAAAATTATATGAATAATTGAGAGAAAATAATATAGATTATTAATTTTGTGATTAATTTTGATTATATAATACCATAATTTAAAGTCAATAATACTATAAAAAATTAATTAATTTTGGAGATAATATTAATTTTTAAAAAAATTTGATTATTCTATTTATTATTTTATTAATTTTTTTAAAAAAGATGTATCCACCTATATAATAAAATACGTAATACACAGTTTAAAACTTTAAGATTTTTGATGCACAAAACAATACGCGATTTGACAATTTTGATTTCTAAGTAGCTCACATGATCAACAAGCCAGGATTTGTCAAAGTGTAGAGCATTTAGTGCTCTCTCTCTTTCTCTTTCTCTGTCTCTGAGCCTGTCTGTTGTTTGTTTATAGATATATGTGATGCTCATGCATGTAATCTTTTCCTCAATTCAAATACTTACCGCGAGTTGTTTCTATTCTTTATTAATTTTTGTCATTTGTGTTATATATTCATGACTCAGCAAAATATCAAATATTAGCCATCACTATTCACCAAAATAGCCACAACTGGCTTGACGCGTTAAGTAAAAGTAATTCCTCAGGATCTAAGTAAGTATATTTTGTCTATCAGGTTCAGTCGTCACCTCTGATCCTCTGCCTGATACTGTAGTTCCATTTTTTTTTACATAGTCATGGGTGTTTGTCTTTCGTGGATTAATATTTTTCTATGTCCTTTGAAAGAAAACTATCATCATCCCCAAAAAAGAGTGTTTCCGCAATCCTTAAAAAAAAAAAGGAAATGAACATTGCAGGTTTTTGCAGCTGGAGGATTCCTAGGGTTACCCATCTTTATACTAATTATATAATGAAGCCAGTAGAATAAAATAGTTAAATATACATATTGAAATCTTAATTACAGCAAAAATATCCCATAGAGCTATATCAAAGTCTTATATATTTGTAAGTGGTAAAAGTACAATCTGAAGAAACGGACAGAGACGAAGCAATAAGAGAACGTATGAGGTATTTGTCTCCATATAAGAAGATGATAATGTCCAGGAAAAGAAGATAAATAAATGAAAAGAAATATATGATAATTTTTACGATCACGAGGCAAGCTACGTATGTGGCCTACTAATCACTCCTGTACATGTTGTAGGCAGAGACATCGATTAAGACATGGTGAAAATATTATCATGTATGGTGTCAGTTATATAAGGTATGTCCAATTATCGGTAGTTTTCAAAGTGGTCTTCAAAATCCGAGGGGCCATTGCGTTTCAGCTACAAGACGCTGCTCTCTCTCTCTCTCTCACACTCGATAAACAATCGTGGTGGCAGAAAATTTTCATGGGCAAGGTTGGACCTGGATATATGCAATTTGTTATGGCCACTAGCTTTATCTCATCATCAGCTCCAGGGGCAAACCTGATATAATTAATCTATTGATGAATATCTGATCGATCAACCACATGTTACCATATCTTGAACTCTATTGTTTATAAATGCTTATCTTGTAATCACGTCTTTGTAGCTTCAGTTTTATTTGATTTAACAATTTTAGATTTTAAAACCTCTTCTTGTCTCAACGTGATATAGTTCTAAGTACTGAATATACAGTTCAGACACATGCTTCCTCTATCTATAAATAAGAATCCTAATTTTTTTGTTTGTTTTTTAAATTATACAAGTTTTGATATAATTCATTAAATTAATGCATCTGAATGATTGAAATTTTATTTATTTTGTATTAATTCTAATATGCATTGTTTATTAAAAAAAAAAAAATCTGAACCATCTAAAATGTTTTAATACAATCACTCAAAAATTGTATCATATTTTGTTATGTTGTATTAAAAAAAATTATGCCCTAAGCTTGTCCCAAAAAATAAATCATGAAAGCAAGTATCAATTAGTAATTCTTTGTCTTTCTCTTTCGTATGGTATTTAATCTAACAATTAATAAAACCTCCAAATCTTATAATCTATAAAACAAATTAATGCAAAGGACCTAATTAACCACTCAATCCTTTAAATTAAATCGCCTTGATTAAATCTCACATATATAACCTATAATCCTCCTAGCTAGGGGTGTGTAAAAGAACCGGCCGGAACCAGAATTGGTGGGTACCCGGGGTTCCGGTTCCTACTCGGAACAAGTCCTAACAGGGTAGGTTCCAGTTCTAGAAATCAGGAACCAGCTGGTTCTGGTTTTGATTTTGGTTCTACCCTTGTAGGATCTAGGAACTGGAACTAGAACCGAGATCCAGGTAGGAACTATGATTGAATTATAATTTTTGTAAACTATTGGGAGTGTATTTATAATTTTTAGAGGGTTTATTTGTCATTTGTAAAAAAGTAGGAGGATAATAAATTAACCCAGGTACTTGGAATTGAAACAGAACCTATGTTTTAGGTTCTGATTCTTGGCTTCTAGGAACCGAAACCAACCGATTCTGGTTCCGATTCCAAATCCAAGGAACCGGTGGATTCTAGTTCCAGTTCCTTTGAATTTAAGTGGTTACTCAGACCCACCCACCCCAACACCTAACTATAAGTTCTACAAAACTTGCCGGACACAAGTTAAGGGGGAGGTCTTATATTTTGCCATAGCAAACTAGTGCCTTCCCTAATTTAAGACCCTTATATATTTTTCATAGTGAAAAATATATAAAGTTTGTTTAGTTATATTTAGGATGATTGTACACCAATCAATTACAAACCAATGAGGAGTTGAATGGGAACTAATCTGTCAGAACGAAGCTGAACTGACCCAGAAAAGTGAGAAGGATCTTTGTAGATTGGTTGATTAGCGGCGCCCCACCGGTTGAAGATATACTAAAAGCTCCTTTAGTGTTGAACAAGGTCCAACACAATTATTAATAGATTCGCCAAATCTGAATCTGATTGGTCAACCACCAAAATTCGAATGGTTTGCTTCCATAAAATGAGAAGTTAAAGCCACAGTCATTTTCAAATACTAAGTTGTGCAATCCGCAACCACAAGAATGAAATATCAAATTTCATTTAAATGATTTTCATTTATATATAGTAGTCTTTTTCAGATCCCACCTAAGTGTACATATCATATCATATGCATGGCAACGGTTTGGCAAAATTATGTGACATTAAGAGAATGTTCAGACCGCCTTTAAAACCCTGATTGAAATGGATGAATTGATCATTAGCACTTCGCACCGGATTACAATCATGTGGACTAAAACACAATAACAGGTTCTTGCTTATATTATGTGGCATCATTTTTTATTTTCCTTTTTTAAAAATGTTTGTCTTTACTCAACACCCTAGTACAATAAAATTCAGTGGTCAGATATGCTATTTACACAATAATGAAATGTTTCACTCAGTTCAATATTTCTTGCAGGTAATCGACTCTACTGCATTATTCTTATCAGCTGTCAGTTTCATAAAAAGACGGTATAAAAATATGGTCAACCAAAACAAAGAAATCATGCTTAAACATCTTATAATTTTGAATCCTTATAGCCTTGTTTTTTATAGGATTGGAATGACAAAGTCTAGCCGTATAGGAACATATTGGGCTGTCTTGTCTTGCACATCAGGTCCTAAA